AGCGCATTTTCCATGACTTTGTCCATGACGATATTAAAAATGAAAGGTGAGAAAGGGCAGCCTTGTCTCACATCACCGGAGCTATTGAAGGGCAGCGACTGCTTGCCATAAACCCTCACTCTACCCGAACTGCGCGCGTACTGCACTGATAATATCTACGTATTTATCGGGCACGGCTTTCCTAATCAAACAGTCCCAAAGGTCACATCGATCCACCGAATCGAAGACACCTTTGATGGTCTGCAAGACGACTACGGTGGATGCCCCAACTATTGACGTAACATCAAAATGTGGTCAATACAGCCTCGATTTCGGCGCAACCTGCTTTACTCCTCACGTATCTACCTTTCACAGGTGCCAGCAGATCTGAAGAACGACAGGAGCTTCTAACTTAGTGGCGATCGGTATAAGACTGATCCGTTTATGGCTGGCGCATTCCGAATGTAAGCCTTCCTTGAAAATTGGGACTATAACGGGCGGCTCCATGGTGTCGGGACGATTTCCATCTACCACGGCTTCACAAATAAGTCGTGTAAGTCATCTACAAGTGCGGATCCCCTGAACTTGCAAAGGGCTGGATGAAGTCTATCTGATTCTGCGACCTTATTCATTTTCAACAGTCTGATCCCACGTTCGACTTTGCGTGTGAAGACAGATTCAGGGGGACGCCCAAAGGCGATGTGTGATCAATGGCCGATAATGAAGTTGGTAACTGGTTGATTCAACTGCTTTTCCAAATGTTCGGTCCGACGCTGCCACTGTTCTGACAAACTGTGAGTAGACAGTCTACTGCGGTTGCGTAAGGTCTCGCTAACAGCAGGTCTCCTGCTGCTCGTTTCCCGTATCAAATAAAATAACAGCAACGGCAACAGTTGTTTCCATTTCCGATGAACGATGAGAGGACCAAAATTTGCGCTCTCTATTCAGGCTAGCATGCGGATTCGCCCTGAGATTTCTTGCGAGTCTTGTTGTGTTCGCTCCCAATCGGAATGTGTGGGCTAGCATCCGGAAGTTCCGGAGACTGCGTAGAGAACAAGTTTCCCGGTCTAAAATCATATTTATCACATGTTGACATACCTGCTTCTAATAACCTCTAGCGTATGTGGGATTAGTGACCCTCAACTTTGTTCCATGGGCTTGGATGCTGGTACAGTTTGATATACATTCAGAACACTTGGCTGCGCAAGTTGGCTAATGTCTGTGCGCTCACATCGTCGTTACGGACGTCCACCAAAGCGAACTCTGAGATCGTCACACGAAAATGCTCCAAAACAGGCGACAGCTTTGGGCACAGCGTCTCCAACGGTAACTGATTGCCATGTGACCGATTTGCTTCCACAGCTTGTCCGAGGCTGGTGGGCACAATATCGCCCTTCTGCGAGTGCTGTGCCCGAAGTTAGTGCTCGCGAGAGAGAGACGAGTGTCTTCACACAGGGGTAGCAACCGCTCACCGTTATAATTACGAGCCTACACCATGTCGGTCTCCAAATTGCAGCTCATCAATGGACAATTTTCTATTTTGGATCTTCGGCTCTCCTGCCAGCATCATAGTGCCCTTACATTTTATGTAACAAAGGAGCGCGTTCATTTGGTGGTAAAAGTCATCTTTCACCAAGTCAGCGCTATAGTTTGCGAGAGGCTTAGGCCACAATGACAAACGGATACCGTTTGTCTGCTCACTAGCCAATCAAACTGACGGCGCCCATCCGGTTGTTGGTTGGGATCCATTCAACCAGGGCAGCTTCAACTCAGGAACTCTGAGCAATACCCACACCGGCTTGACCTACTTTCGAGGCTACGTCATCTCCAGACAAGCGCAGTGGAAAAGTGTCGCATATGGGGGATCGCAGGGTGAGCGCAGAGCTCGAATCTTGCTGTCGGGTTTCCGCTAAACAGTAGGTATCGGTCGATAGGGTCTCTAGTAATCGGGCAAGTGCTGGCTATTGGCCAAGTTGTAGTACACGCACACGTTGAGGCATGTCAGGATCGGGGACTCCATAGAGAAACGGGTGAACTGACTTTGTCAGCTTGGTTGAACATGGACTTGAGAGACGCCCTGCGATTGCATTCGGGTCGAAAGTAGAAGAAAAGCGATTATTGAAGCAAACTGAGAGTGGGCTAAAAATTGGGGGTTAAAAACGGAGAATAAATGTGGTTGGATTAAGACGATAAGGATGAAGCGCAAGAAGGGGGATATGAAGGCGGAAAGCCTTGAGCCGTAGCATCCCTTCTCCTCTCCACCCTGTTCATTACAGCAGATGGGGCGTCGTTTATTATCTTCTACGCAGCCAGAGCATCAAGAAATTGTTTGGACCTAAGTTCATTTTATTTCGTAGTCAGGATACTGTTAAGTTGGGCGGACCTAGATAGGAGAACGATTACGTTTTTCAAATGAAGCCTTTAGTTCAAGGCACCGGTTTTTTGATACTAGGCTACAGCGGGTCAGTTTTATGAAGTAAGGATCCACCCTCACTCCAACTCCTAACCTGCGGGGCCGAAAGAATAACTTTGTCTGGCCTCTTATCTTTGGCCATTCTGGTATGAGTGGCTCTGAAGATGCGAGAAGCATCACCCAACATGACCCAAAGGATCGCTGAGGCATGCAAAGCATAGCGCCGCGTTAACATTCGGTGTCATCGCTTTTTCGGGCGTATGTATTTAGGCAACATTAGTACAACAGAACTGAAGACGAACTAGTTATCTGTGGAACGTTTTACCTCCAAATGAGGCAAAGTGTGTACGGTAGGGGAAATAAGCTTCCTGGGCTGGGCGACTAGAAGGTTGAATTCTAGTGTTAAATACTTCCATGGCAACAATCCACCATTTGCACAGCCGAAGGCCTTATTATAATCGAGCCAACGAACACATGGTTTTCTTCTTATCGTTTAATAGCGACAGCACTGAACTCAAGAGGTCAGTCATTCATCTAGGGTAAACCTGAAGTGATGTACACCATTTGGACCTATCTGACTCATTTTCTCTTCAAGTATAGATTTTTTAAACTCCAATGCCGCTTAAGGATGCATTAAATCGGTTGATGGATGCGCACTATTAACGAGGCCCAATAGGTCGAAACTGCCGTCTGGTGTTTTCTGGGCATGTGGCGGACTATTTTATTTCGAAGCTACTGCGATCAAATCTCAATTACTTCAATACATGGCGCGCAGCCGACACCGGTGGACGAGTTGTGTATATACTTGTTTAAAACTCACAAAAGCTGTTATCTACTGCATCCACAAATGACTGCTGCTTTTCAGTGCTTGTTCTTGCGTGTACCGCTGGAAGTTATTCTCGATCAACCGCATCTGGCTTTCTTCAAATTGCCTCTGTGTATGTTGAAGTATCGCAGTGAACCCCCATACTGAACATGGAATTTTCGGGTTCCCCAACGGAAGATTCGTCGTTTCAAAGTTGTCATTCTCATGAAGATCGCGCCGTATCCCTCTGATCGGCTCTTTTAGTATATGCTCGTCCCGATTGGCTCATCGAGAAGACAATTTCGGGTCACCGATTTAATGGTCGCCGAACACAAGACAGTTGCATGGCGCGGTCTACTCTTATTCATGTGTTTGCCTTGGCAATCTTAAATGTTCTCTGTGCGTTACTGACAGTAGCATTAAATTGTCTGAGAAGATCCTTTTGATCTTTCAGTCCGATTATTTCACTGGTTTTCTGGAAAATGTTTGGGCTTTGATCCAATTAAAATTCTTTAGGAGGTGCTCCTCTGAACAGTTTGGACTCAGATATTTACTGCTTAACTGTTAAAGAAGACATAAAGAAAAAACGATGCGTGAAAAGGCACAGTGCCTTGTTCCTCTCCGGACTGCCGTACCTGTCTTTCTCCGTTGATTTATGTGGTTTTACATGACTCTGTCTATCTATTAGGCTGTTGATGATAAATACTATTCGCATCCAGTGCGAAAAGCGCCTCAAATTACCCCTTGATTATTCGAGTAGTCTCTTTTTAACATTCCACCCGTTAATTCTAATCATTGTGGTCTTATTGATTGTGTAGCAGAGCGTTACTTCTTACGGCAACGCTACTCCGCAATGTTCCGAATAATGCGATGGGGGCACACTTTCAGTCGTACGGATTAAATCGCCGCATGCATCCATGCTCGTTCGCCGACCAATCTGCTTTGGCCTACTGTCGTCGCATACACTTCTGCTTCCGTCACGCACAGTGAATTTATACCTTCTTTACTGCCTGATGGGCAGTTACCGAATCTGCGCATTACTCAGTGCATTTTCATGAAATTCTCTTGACATTTTGACCTAGCCAATAAACCGATTTTTCGTTGAACTTTTAGACAAAATAAGCGGAATTCCCTAAAGAATTGCCGCCCATTGTGTCCCCACGAATGGTTTTCAATTGGGGTCTTCTGACTTAGTATTGAGTAGTCTGCTGCGTAGTGACTCGATCTAGTCCTTATTTCAGGCGAGTTGTATGTCAGCCTTTAAAACCCGCTAACATTTTCTCCGATAAGCATGGAGGCTAACTGGTTTTCACCAATGTTACTTCATGTCCTCTTCAACGGATACCTATTCACTTAGTTACCCAGTTTATCTATCTGGCGGTTGTGCAAGTTTATGTGAAAACCACCGATTCGATCTTACTTACAAAGCGGGTTATACGTTCAGTTTCTGTGCACTAATCACAATTCCAAATCATTGTTATTTGTCTGACCCCACTGAACTTGAACATCCGGACTTCGTCTTCCAATCCGATCCTGTTTTTCGTGATATCACCGCTTACCCTTAGGATTTCTTTGCATGGATCACTCTTCACTGGGTAGTGATTCTTCAACCATAACCATTTAGGATGCAGCCTAACATTACTTCTTGTATCCGAATAACCTGAGTTTAGTCAACGACTGAGTGGCCACTGTTGAAGCTTATACAGTCTCCCCCAAGTAACTCCGTTTATACTATGAGATCGCTTTACCCCATTCGCGGTACGGTATTTGAACTTTCGTCCCCCACCGGCTCTTTCCCTTTAGCTTTTATGTTTGGGAGTGTTTGAATCGTACCTTGATTCGAGTCGGCCGACGTGTGAATCGGATCACCACTCGCCTTGAGGCAGCCAAAGAGATGTTCGAAACTGATGGACGTCGTGTGAGTTCCCTGCGTCCAGATGAAACCTTTTCCTTAACATCTGTTGCAATGTCTATGTTTTCATACATGACCTCAAGCGGAACTTACTTCTTTCATGTTATTTTATCGGCCGTTTGGTTTAGCTGACCGAAACACTGAATAACCTGGTTGCGGTTGTCCTTAGTTAGAGTGCTTCCGGCTAGTGGCTTAATGGATGAAGCGCGTCTGCCTTGTAACTTAAAAGTCTCCAGTTCGAATCTTCCTAAGTGCGAGTGACCGCGCGCGTAACTGGTGATAGTGGTCGCATGTGAGTGAGAAGTCGGCGCTGTGCACTGGCGTATTGCTGATGCCTTTCTTCTTTTCCCTGTATTTTGGCATTATCCATTCGATCCAGAGGATTCGTATGCATTCTTCCTTTTGACACCGGTTAGGAAGTGCAGTTGTTTCTCAGTAGTTCAAATTTAACTTCAGAAGTGCATTGGATCATGATATCCGATGACTACTCTCTGATCCTCAACTGCAAATTGACAGTCCAGTGGCCAGGTAGTTGATTATACTTCGCGCATCACAGTGCGGGCAGATCCAGTTGCCGTAACTTCGGATGTCATGAAAATAAATGCCAAGATATCAGCTTGCGAAACGTTAAGCAGGCTCACAGGCAAACGTTTAGGGCTCAGGTAGCAGTAAAAATTGTCTTATCACCAGACTGGTAGCGAGGAACAAGGGGTTGCACGCGAGAGCACTGATGCTTTTTTACTAAGTTATATTAATTGAGTCTTCCAGTCGCTGATGTAACCAGTCCGTGCTAATTGCGTGGAACAGCTTGCCTAGCCCTTTCGGTCAGTTTCCTCATGCATCTTTGACATGCCACCGGCTGTTGACCCCGCGGATTCACTCAGTCAGTTGCATCAACAGCAAATATTGTATACTAAGCTAGGCTTACGTCTTGCTCTCGATGCGTATGCACTGCGTTTTCAGTAGAGCGTCCAGTGCGCGGCACTCGGAGATTGATTACCTGCCACTAATTAACAGCATCGTCGGTGTCCTCCACTTGCTGTTTCATTAACATTTACGCGATGCTTCACAACCACGGATGATCAAGGAGGACCAGACTTTAGTGTCTTTAGCGCGCATTAGTCCCCTTTTCTTTAAGTGAAACAACGCTGGTAATGCAGTTCTGTACATATTACCCTTAATTTATAGTCCGCCGGCCCGTATCCTTAAGGATCGCATACCTTCCTTGTAATCCTGCGGCGCGGGTTCGAGCCTGCTTAGGGATTGAGCGAATCTTACAGTATGCTTGGCCCACTTGCGACCAGTGGTGGTTGCGTGACAGCGAAGCGTCTGTACTATCGGTGTACAGTCTATACCTATTTTAATTTATAGTTCGATGTCACACCGCTTCTATGGTTGATTGGTGCTTTTAAAAGTCATCCCAGCTTCATCATCGCGTGCATTCACCTCTTGGTATTGTGAACACTCTTGAATGCATTCCAGTGGCAACGTTAGCAGATGAACCGCCGATACATGAAAAATGCTATACAAGCCAATCTTGCTTTTTAGACGATTGGGTCGTTATTGCCAAGTCTGGTCCTCATTATCACAACCAACAAGCAACTGTGCGGATGTCTGAGCGATTTTCTGGAATTTATTTATCTTCTTTAGCTGATTTATTTTCGTTGTACGTGTCATTTTGATTTTACACTCGATGTATCATTATAAATGAAATATTCTAATGTCTTGTCCAATGTGTGTGTGTGGGTGCTCTTCTCTGTTAACCTGCAGTCTGGTGTTCCACCGGCTGCAGAAGAAGGTAAGCCAAAGAAATCATGATTAGTTTTCTGCACCGGAATGAGTGCATTTTCAACATTTCACATTTCATCAAGATTCCAAATTATGTCAATGGGAAATGATGCTCAGAAGTCACTAAGCATTGCTGAAGAGAATCATCGGGATGTATATCTTATCGACAAGCTAGCATTTAATACCAACGAATACCGTACTTCTTCACTTGATCAAAACGTTTCCTGATAATTCTTGTGGTTCATAACCACATGGACGTTTGTGAACTGTCTGGAACTTAGACACTCAACGCTGTGGTTGGCTTACTCATGCTCTTTGCATCACCAGAGTTTCCAACCCGGCGTGTCTTGTTTCCTCACCTCGCACATGTTTGGATTAGACAACACAGTCAGTAAGACTGCGAAACAATCGATCACTGTCATTCGATAAATGTTGCGTGTTATGCGCTCGCCACATTACACTCCACGACTTGTTTCGCACTCGACGCGAACTCGAAACGTTGGGGTGTCAACCGATGCCTCTGCTCTTAATCCACCGAGTGTTGCGGCAACCAACATTTGCCACACTGGTTGATGCATTAGTTCAGACTACTACGTGCCGTCCTTCTGCATGGGTTCCTTAGAATCTGTCACTCTATTAGGGTTTGAGACCCCTATGGAAAGTAAGGGTAGTCGTGAAGTCAGTGGTGTTCTTTCATTCGATCCTGAAATTTTCACTACTGGTCCCGATTTTCCAGGTTTTGAGAATACCTGTATCTCGGGATGTGGATGATGGGGGAACTTGGTCTTTTAGCTACACACGCATCGGTCAAAATCCCTAGCTCGATGAATAATCCAATCCTCTCCTTTTCAACTTTTCTATTCGTTTTTCTAGGTTCGATCCAATTCCACTGGGTAGACTACGTTTTCCTGGTTCATCCTCTATCACCTGCATGCAACCTCCAAATACAGGGGCTGGGAATCTTATTGCTGTTTATCCATCCGTATTTCTATCCTCGTTGCATTTCTTTTTGTTGCTACATATTTTCTAATGTGTTCATTTCCTAACACTCACCTAACTTTCATTGTCTTCTGTTCCACAGTCTACATCCTCAAGTCCTGACCGGCGTCACAGAATCAACGGTGCTGACGACGATGATGACGAGGACGATCCGGACGCTGATCCAGTCAGGCGACGACGATTAGGCAGCAGGTCTGGTGGGAACGGTAGTAGGCGCTCTGACCGGCGTCACCTCGTCACCGGTTGTGAGCTCATTTCATCGGACGAGGAAGACGATCTTGGAGGCATCAAACTCTCATCTGGCAGTCGTGTAGCGCGTTTGGAGGAGTCTCGCTGCGAAGCTGTTCGGAGCCAGTGCGCAGTCCTCACTTTACTACTTCACCGACATGCACGTCTCATGTCCGAGTTGGCGTCGGAGATTGCGGGTGAGGAACTGGGTTTCTCTGCTGCAGGATCATCTTCGGCGTTGCTTCACAGCTCTGGCCAGAAGCTTGGACTTTCTAAAGAGACTTTGCAACATGTCGCCTTCTGGCTCAAAGGCAGATTGGTCCAAGTTGTACTTGAGGTATGAGCTGAACTGTGTCTCATCTCCTGCTTTTGAGTATGTAACTAAATGAACACATGAGCATATTTCCCGTTGGGGGTGGGATACGTTCCCGTTTTTTTTTAGCGACTCATTTGTGAGTCGTTTGTCACACCTGTGTATTCTCGTTCAGCAAAAAAGCGTGTATTCATTCTGACATACGCCTGTTCCACTGACGTCTTTTCTCGTTGCTTAATTAAATACCTATTTTGTCCGCTTCAATAGTCATTACTTGGCATACTTTCTACGGCTTACTTCAAATATCTGTTTAGCAACTCTCGAGCTCTAACAGACAGTCGCCTGGTCGTCTTCCCTATGTACCTTGCTCGATACGAACAAAGAGAATCGTCCACACAAAAGGAAATCTGCGACCAAGGTATCCTATCCTTGAGTAGCTGGCACACAATCGGTGTTTGGGGGAAGCGACCAGGCGACTGTTCCTTTTTGAGCTCTAGACTATTGCCCAGCCGTGTGAGGGATAATGTACCGAGTGCAGTATTGTCGCACCTAACAGACTCAAATCACTAAATACCAGTTTGTTGACTCTCTCCAGTCTGTTTCCCAGTGACACAAACTAGCAATGCAAATCAAGTGTTTAATGCAATCATTTTATGGTTGTCAAATTCGCGCTGATTGTATAGCTTTCACGAGTTGAATTGTCTTCATCGTTGGCCGGGTTGACTCATAGTGTCCACCATACCTACGCGGCCGTCGTCCATGCTTGCCATCGAATGGTCTTTCACGGTCATGGTCGACAGACTGAGCACATACGTTAATGACAGCTTACACGGGCATTTCCGATTCTCTCGACGTAACGCGCGTGTCTTCACTCCTGTTTGATTCGTTGCTGGCGCACTGCTACTCTTTGTGTTGATCTCCGTATGGAAGCATTTCATAAGATCTTCGTCTTTTTAGTGTAATTTTCCACAATTGGGCTCAAACAGGCAATTATCACAATTTTAGAAAAGCACCGATTACCCGTACTGTTGGGCTCCGTCAGCAGCACATGCTCCCCTTATCTCTTCTTGGATTCAAAACTAGAGCTTATCTCTTGCGAAGCGAAATGTTGAGCCAGTTGGACTTTAACGATGGCAGCGGTCACTACAAATAGTTGCTGGTTACGATATAACATGTTTCCCCTTCTTCAAGTGCCATTTAGCTGAGGTTTCTCGGTGAGCCTCCGCTTAACTGGTGCTGTTATGTGCTTAACTTGGTGATTTCGGCCTTTAAAAAGTAGTGCTAGAGTTAAATTTCCGCTAGGACCTCGACCCGAGACACTGACCCTTTTCAGCTACTGTGAGTTCACATCAGCACCATTTCAGTTGGCTTCTGTTTTCTCTCCTTATTGTTACAAAAAAACTAACTGTGGTCTGGGCTGTAAAAATTCTGAGCATTGCGCGGGACATATCGTATAGAAATTACCTTGGTTCTATAGCAATAACTATAAGGCAGTCTAGGGACATTAGAATGCGCCAATAGGTAAGGGAGTTTCGTGATTTGACCCATAACTAGTTCTACAGATTCGGTTCAGATTGTGCACTCATTCAGTTCATCTGTTGGTGTCATACGAATTGATGTCTATAAATAAATGGAAAGCTATATATATATATATATATATATATATATATATATATATATATATATATAAACTGGTATTATTTTCATTGTAACAACCAGGCAACTATAATATACTAAACAACAAAGGTATATACGCGGTCTGCTCAAAGCTAATCAGTAGTAAACTTTAGTGAATTTCAAATTCACATGCTTCGAGGAAGCATGTAATCGTCGGACCTGTCTGCACATCTATGCTGAGCTCACAGTTCAATATTACATTTTTCTTATCATTATTTTTCTTCCTCTTCAACTTTTTAGCATTATGACCAACTGATCCCGTATCTGGACAATTTGGACGAATTCATCTGCGGTGCTCATCCGGAGGTGCAAGATGTTTTTCAGCAACTTCGTGCACTTCATGCCTGAGTATGTACTCCATATTTTCTTGACGACATTGAGTTCAACGATCTGCCCACCTCAATCTGGAACCCGGCCTGCCAATCAGAATGCCGCTTGTGGAGAGTTCCTAGTGGCATTCTATGTCCTCACTGTGTCCACTTTTTGAATTTGTACCTATTTCTGCATTTCCAAATTCAGCGTATATGTACGCATGCGGTTGTTATCTTTTAGTTCAACTTATGCACGAAGTGCTAAGTGCTAACCGCAGAACTAGTTCTTCTCGATCCCCGTGTTTCTTCCCAAGGAGGACTTTCGCTCATGTCACTTTGAATTAACGTCATTGGGATCTAACCAAGGTTAACCAGGGCAGCCACCCAGACCACTTTCGCTGGTTCTGAAAGCTAAGCGCATTCATCAAGGTCATTTGAAATCTTTTTCAAATTTTCGCTTCTATCTCTGATGGAAATTGTTTGTATGTTTCCCGTCCATTTATTGATATTTTGCAAATCACGCTGAACTGCCAACTGTATCAGTACTCATTTTTACGAAGGAGAGTTTTAGATAAAAGTATCTATTTTGTCGGAGAATCTGAACGCCATCATTATCACTGTTAGTATGTTATAAACGTACTCCATAGACCACGAGCACCACGGCCTGTCGCTGATTCTCGGAGAGCACAACCGTTGTTCATTAGTTTTTCGCTACATGTGTCGGACTAAGTAACTTCTGATCAATGATATAACTTCGCTCGTGCTCTATCGTATTGCATTCGTACAGTTGAGGGCCATGTAACTTGTTCTTCCCTTGTAAGGCTGCATTCGATCAGTCACAGATAAGCCCCCAGGGGACTTAGAAGTCAATCTCTTGATCCGTATTTCTTCCTCATTGTCTTATAGGTAAAACTATTCGGTTAATGCGCTACAGTTTGAAGCAACAAAACTTGCATTTTTTCCACGTATTGCGGATAAACCTGTCGGACAAAGACCGGGGATCGGCAGTATCGAACAAAGCTCTTACCAAGATAGGCAGTTGGAGCGCATCTTCACTCGATACACATCACTTGCGCTCCTTTTCTGTCATTCTATGTACGCCCCGACATGCTGTACTGCTGGATATGTGAGAGATGACTTTTGTTGTCAAACGAACCAGCATTTCCCTCACCGAGAAATTATAGCTACCGTTGTCCCGGTTGATGATCCAGACACTCAAGTTGGAACATTGTCCACCGATTTGTTGCAGTGGGGCGGCAAACACAGTGTAGGCGCCCATAATGATAACGGTGAGCGGTTGCTAATCCTGTCTGAATATAGTCATCTATTCCTTGCGAGCACTAACGTCCGACATAGCATCCGCCGCATGCTTACATGATATCCACCAGCCTCGAGCAAGGTTTTGCTTTACTTCAGTCAGTTATCATTTGAGAATCTGCGTTTTAAACCGTTGTTTGCTTTGTAGTACGCGCGTTGACTTCGATCATGCACTTACATGTGCTGATCTGCGGGTACGTTTCAGTGGAAGTCCAGCAAAGACGTCAACTGTTCTAATCAGATGTTCTGAATGCATGACAAAGAACCTTGGCTTCCGGGTTGTGTGAGCACTCATCGAACACAGTTGAACTCCACTGGTCGCATGTTCAACAGTCCTAATTGGCAGTGGGTATGCCTTCATGTCTCAAATCTAATTTCCAACCTGGGTGGCTGGTTTCTACACAGGCTCCGGAATCGTTCGATATGCCCCCCACACATTCCGGTTAGAGGCGAGCTCGAGACTCGCAAATACCTCAGGACGAAACTGCGCGCTAGCCTGAAGTGACGCGGAGACTGGTGGTCTAATCGTGCGTCGGAGATGGAAATGGCCGCTGTTCTTGTTAACCATCGGAAGTTATTCCGTCCGATACGTGCAGCAGGGGATCTGGTGTTAGCGAAAATATCTGCGACGAGAGTGGACAGCCTATCCTCAGCTTGTCGAAACGCTTGAAGCGTTGGGCCGAACACTGAAAAGTAATTCAATCGACCAGAACCTGTGGATGATGTACGCGATTTTTTGCTGAAACTGGCAACGAAATTGTCCCCAGTTTTCATTAAGTTTCACGTTCAAAATGCGGCAGACGTATAGGATCCAGTTGAATTTTCATTGCATCTAAACCACTTGCCTCTGTCGTTCTCAGCTTGACTAGCACCCCTGTAAGCCAGATTCGAGAAAATAAAGAAGTCGGGGCTACACTGACCACGTTTTTACTTTACGTCAATTGTCGGAGCACGGTCACTTATACCGGCGATCCACCGTAATCATGTTCCTCGGCATCAAAGATGTTTTCGATTCGGTGAATCGATTTTGCCTTGGAACCGTTTGATTGGCAAAGGTGTATGCTATAAATATGTAAACACTGTCATCGCACTCTACATGCGCAGTGCAGACAGAGTGTGTGTTTATGGCAAACAGTCGCCGCTCTTCACTGTCTACAGCGATGTGAGACAAGCAAGACTGCTGTTTCCTTTCGCCATCGACAAGCTCATTGAAACTGCGGCCTAGTTGTGGAGTCGTTTCCAGATGATCGACTTTTTGACTTAGCGTTTGTTGGCGATATTGCCCTCATCTGTGACAGCTCACAAACGTGGCAAGCGGTGTTGGAAACATTAGCATTGGCAACCAGTCGTTTTGGACTGTGCTTTGCACCTTCCAAGTGGATATCTTTCCTACAAGATAAGTGTAATCCACCTGAACTCATGCTTGGTGTGATCAACTATAGGTCGTTTACAATTTAACCACACGGGCAGTTGGGGCAGCGCCTTTTGAATACCTGAGATCACGAACCGTACAGCAAAAGATTGAGGACTTTTGCCACTTATGGCGCCGATGGGACATCGCACCAGCTCTGAAGAGTAGAGTTTAAGGTACAGACAGATATAACGACGCTAATTGCATTCGAGCTCTGGTGCCTTCGTGGTTTGACAACTATCCGGCGTTAACATGGAGGGAGCACTGAGCGGAGTGGCCGTTTTGTATATGGCGTAGAGAAGGCAGATGACCGAGGTAGCACAGTGATTTTACGTAGCATGCTCCGATGGTTGGGTCACATGCTACGCAGGCTAGCGCACACCGAATCCCACGACGTGCGTTGTTTGCGCGACCGGAATCCGGATTAAAGACGATAAAATGGGGGCTCTCAAATCGAGATTGATCTTGATTGGTACCTACCAACTACCGGGTTCGGACTCGAAAGACGATGAACCCGATTGGTTTGAGACACATTTGATTGTGCCGATGATCCGACTTCAGTGGCGTTTGTGTTAAGCTTCATTCTCTTGCCACCGCCGATGCACGATAAAGAACAGATTTCTGTTTTACTGTATTTTTACCGTTTCGTCTTTTTCATTCCCCTTTCACTACCAACCATCCCTGTGGTTCCAAAGCGAGGGGTAACTATGCAACAATGGGTAAACTGGGATTTCACAAGAAGTACAGGTCAACGCAAGAATTAGGTCATGGTTCAGTCACGAAACAAACCTGTTGATAAAATCAGTTAACTACTTACCTAATCACTGCCGGATTGTTATTGTTGAATTTCGGGTCATAAATGTTATCACCCGAAATACGAAGACGAGCCAGCAATACAGCGCCGTTAGATTGCGCGTCGATCGGCTCGGTCGTTGTTCCTTTGAACCATGCCAATCCCTGCATGCCTGGTTGATGTCACCGATTTCGCCAGCTTGCAAACATTTTATGAGTTGTCTTAACGTGGAATAAAAACAGGCGACTGAAATATTTGCATTTTTTAAACATCGAACGTGTGTTTATTTTCAAATGTCGCCTACGTCACAGTCACCTGCATCAACATGTGTAAAGGGAAAATGTGGCTAAAGTATGTGGAATTATTCCATTAAATAGGAATCATCCTTTGTTACGTAATTTTTATTTGTTTCACCAATCATATCTTCTGAAGAAAACGGTCTTAAAAGGAGCTTGTCTGCAATGGGTTTTACTCATTTTATTAAAAACGATGTGGAGAGTCCCCAGTGTGTTTTGGGCAAGAAGGTGTTCACGGCAGGGTATGAAACCCAGCAAATTGAAAGATCACTTTGAAACGAATCATTCTGAGTTCATAGAAAATTTTTTGATCTCTTCAAGCGTAAATATGCTGCACTGAAAACTTCATGCATGTATTCATCGGGACACTTCTTGCAGTCAACTGAAGCTGGTCTTGAAGCGTCGTATCACATTGCTCTTCGGGTTACTAAAATCAAAATCTCATGAAGCTGGAAAGGATCTAATCCAAACTTGCTTACCGAATGCGATCGAACTCGTTATTAAAGAGAAACATGCGAAACAGATATACAAGATGTCGCTTTCTAACAACACCATCAAAAGTCGTATCGAGGATATGAGTACAAATATTTTCCACACGATGCTGAAGAAAATATGGTTAAGTCCTTTGTTCACACTACAGTTAAACCAGTCGACCGCTCTGCATCTTGTTCCGAGTGGTTGTTTTCAGAACCACTGAATACCCTCGATCGTTGCGATGGTGTCTTACGAACAGTAATACATTTTCTCTCGGATATTGAGCGTCAGCGGTCGAAGTTGGTTCGTATCTGTCTAGACATAACACCATCCGTGTTGAGCGTTCGTTCCGGACTCCAAAGAAGTTGCTCCGCACGCTACCTTTAGCCACTGCATTATATACCGTTATGTTTTAGCACTGAAATCTCTTCCACCTGATTTGCTGAATGCATTTACCCAGGTTGTGTAGAGACAAATCCGACGTGCAGTTATTCCACCCAGAAGCTCACTGCCTATCATGGGGCAAGGTGTTTCACTGCATGCTCGACTTTTTAAAAAAAATTGCTTTGTTTTTGGAAACGAAAAAGCCGGAAACTTTTAAGGAGAAAGAGTAGCGTGCAAAAATAACAGATAATGTATTTATCACCAAATTGGCTTATCTTGCGGATGTACACAAATGAAGAAATTCGTTAGACCTCAGCTTTCAAGGGAGTAAAACGAACGCTTTAACGATTCCGGATAAGGCTGCAACTTTTCTTCGCAAATTACGGCTTTACCAATGCTGAGAACTTATCAAGGATGTTTCATTGTCCACAGAACCAGCAATGTTTCTCATTTGGACTTTGCATCGCACCGTGGAGGAATAAAAAGCTTTTTTATTTATTTATTTAACAGATGGAATGTAAAATGCGCATTTCCTCTCCGTGTTTCTACGCAAATCACTGTTTGCCCACAACGTGATTAAGCGGCATCTGAGTAGGGGGAGACTGTTACAGATGCGAGGCGTGTGCACGACGGTTTACCTGTGATCACTGATCGGGGAAAGTCGTTTCGAGTGTCGCTCCTTCTTCGAAATGCACCCTCTCTAATCATTGTGATCTGCCGTCTTGTGATGCATGTTTCACACGGTTTCCGCTACAGGCCGTGATTACCAGCAGCCGATGGACCGTGCAGATGCTCCAAATATGCGCTTGCTCTGTTCGTCTGATGAACTCGTCCGTTGAACGTGTTATTGCGATTGCCGCTACTGCAATATCAGGTGCTAATAGGCAAGCTATAATTGAGGAGATCGGTAAAGCTTTTTTGTCGCGCT